GCGCTTCTGAACAACACCTGGTCGCGGCTCGACTCCGCCCCGCCGCGACACACCGCGGGGGCTCGCCGCGGGGTCTAGGGCAAGCCTCGGGGCAAGCAGGGGAGATATAGGGCCAGGCGATGATTATTTTTGGCTGTCCGGCGCCAGTGAAGCGGAGCGGAGCGCGGCTCCTCGGCGGCGGGATTGTGCGTGAGTAGTGAGGGGCGGGGGGTAGTAGTGCTCTTCTAGGAGGATCGCTCGCACGCCCGCCGCCACGCCACGCCGCGCAGAGTCGGAACGAGCAGGCCGGCCGGCGAGGTGGCGGCAGCGGCGGGGGCGGGGCCGCGGGGGCGGAGGAGTGGGCGGCGAAATAATCGTTTCACAGAGGCGCGAGGATTAGGCCCCGTCCTCCTGAGCTGTGTGTGAGATAGAGGAAGAGAGAAAGAGAAAGAGATAGAGAGAGGATGTGAGTGTGCGTACGTGTGCGTGTGTGGGAGATCGAGAGCAGCGTGCTTTTGGCGAGGCTGCCGACGCGCGCGTCCTGCGAACCTTTTTAAATTTGGCGCCATGTGTCATGCGGACGAGCGATATGATCCTGCGGGCTTCTTAAACTACTTGGCGGTAGTGTGGGTGGGGGCAGCCGGGTGCCTGGCCTGGCGCACTGACCTAGTCACGCGCTCGCTCTCTGTACTACTGAGTGGCTCGTCATCCCCGGCCGTCCCGCCCGCCAGCGCTGGCCGACGATTTATGCCCGCCGAGCTGATGGACCGCGCGCGCGCCCGCGGCCGCCTATTAAAACAACATCCCTCTCGCGGCCGCCATCCGTCAGGACGCCGTCGTCAGGGCGGCCCGCGCGGCGGCCAGCGGCGGCCAGCCCCAGGGGAGGCCCCGGCGGCGGCGTCGTGCAGATCGAGTGACACAAGGTGGGGGCACTTACACACAGCTTTCAGAGTAGTGCCGAGTGGCACAGCTGGGTGGGATCCTGACCACACCGCCCCGACGCACACGGCGGCCGCGCGGCGCGCCACTCGAAGACGACGACGGCGTCCTCCAGCGGGATACAGAGAAGAAGGGCGCGGCCGCGGGCGGCGACTTATAAGGCGCATTGCGGTGCACCTGCGGCGGGGCGGGGCGCGAGTGGGCGTGTGATGCCCCGCGTGAAATCAAACGTGTGAGGCAACAATAAGGTACGCGTCATGACCATCGGCCAGCCTGGAATGACTCTGCGCCGCCCCGCCCCTCCCCTCCGCGCCCCGCACCACACTCGGGCCGTGTCTGTCGACGGGTGCGTCTGAAATGGGCGTGCATCGCGCGTCCCAGCCCCGCAGCACTTGACGAGCGAGCCTCACACTTCGGCAAGGCCCGCCTCGGCATGTAAACACGCCATATGCATGCATGCACCCCTCTCGTCATCGTTCCTGCTCAACATTTCTCTGTTTTCTGCGCTGACTTGCAACGTGAGTGCAGGCGATGCAAGTTTGTTTTGAATTTCTCGTCCCCCCTGCTCCGCCTTGCAGGTGCAGCCCCGCACGTGATACCCTTGACGTGGGCCTCTCGCTCGCGGATCGGATCATCAGCGGCTCGGTGCAACGCCGGACGCTTGAAGCAAAGTGTCTGCGGCCGGCGGCCGGGCCGTTTACAAAACAGTTTGCCGCCATTAACATGTGTTTGGACAAGAGCGCGGGGTGGAGGAACGGGGCTGCGGGGGCTGAGGGGGCCTAAAGGGGGGCCGGGGGAGGAGGGGGTTGGGGTTGCCGTCCGACCGCTGCCAGCAGCGGCGACACCCCCGCGTCCCACAGCGGCCATGAAACGCAAACTTAACGCGGAAGTACAGTCCTCTTGAGAGGTGCGACCCGTATCTGCGGTGCTCAGGCGAGGAAGTTACGCGAGTCTACCCGCTGGATCGCACGTGGGTCACGTGGTCGGCAAGTCAGGGGAGCAGGAAGGGGAGGGGGGGAGGGGGATAGACAATAGAGGCACGACCAACCACACTTTATTTTCCCAGCTAGTGATTCAGATTCACCCGTTTGCTGTTGAATTGTGTCTGAAACGCTACGTGAGGGGGGTGCCTAGGATAGGGCGTTGCCCTGAACCACCGAACGCCCACTCCTACACTGTTTGCTGTTGTGTACAGTTAAGATGCCTATACCACCAATGCCACCCTAAATTGTCTACAGGTGCTGACTTCAACCCCTTAGCGCAACTTTGCAAAGTGTACGTGAAATAAAGTTATAGCCCCACCACCACTCTGGAGGCGTTGTTCACACAACAACAGTTAGCTGACTGACCACTGACCGACCACCTACACTGAATAACTGAATGTACGTATAAGCAAAAAACGTACCTGAAGACATTTGAACCCACACGTCCATCTCATCTTGAAATGTAGGGCAAGATTTCCTTGGTTCAAGAGCGTATGGCTTTTCTGAGCGTATTAAGAATTAACAGACTGACCACACTGTGGCACCGGCATCATGTTGCTCAATGCCTTATACCGCGTCACCTTTTGCAGAGGGGCGCCCACCTGCGCCAACCCTATCGCCAGCGGCGGGAACATTCAAAGACAATTATCTGCCGTCCGAATGTATTTTTTATGCGGTGGCCGTGGCTTGTCTATGGACCAGTTTGTTTGTGGAGGCAGCGGCGAATGGGGTGCCCGGCCCGGCCCGCGGCGCCAGAGGGACACTTAAATCAGCCGCCTGACAACGCCCCGCGCGCTTCGCGCCGCCCGAGACTCCAAAGCCGCCACGACGCGCGGAGCGACATTTTATTCAGCGCGACTTTTGTATTCCTCGCACCTCGATCGCTGGCCTGCTGAACTGCCCATCACCCGCTCGGTTGGGGAGGTGGCGCGAAAACTTTCGGCAGCTTATATTGCAAGGGACAATGGCACCCGGGCCGCGGCGACAACGACGGCCTGGTGGTGGCGTGGCGGTCGTGTCGGGCGGCGCGGCGGCGGAACTGGGACGCGCGCCGCGCTTGGCCGACATGCAGTGCATGGTGCAGCAGCAGTGCATGGTGC